GTCATGCAGTTCCATCTGGAATTGTCCTTAAAGACAGTGCAGATGATCAGGACATCTGCACTGTCCTTATCAAAGCATTTCTGATTAAAACCAGAGAGAGCCGGAAACCAGAGAAAATAGCAGAGAAAGCTGGGACCAAATAACCAGAGGGAGCTGTGTTTCATTTTGTTTTTATACAGTTATGTGCACTTCTACCCAAAGTCGTATTCTCGGGTCAGCGCCAAGAAAAGCACGGACGTATGCCCTTTTCTTTTAAATCTATACCCAGGTCTCCCCATCAACTTTGTTCTCATCAAGTGCACTCGGTTTTCCCGATGACTGTTCAGAATTTTTCCCCTTCTCACCCCTGATCTGCTTGTGCCCCACTGTGTCCCCCTAGCAGTTTGCTGCATCTGTGTCTTTTAAGAGCCCTTCCTGGTGTACCTAGGACTAAAAATCCCTTTTTACTTTAGGCAGAACTCAGGGTGCCAGGCATGCAGCTCCACTCCTTGGCTAATACCTCCAGCGGCTGAACATCACACACTGCTTCCCACTGCACACCGCCAGCCCCTGGGAGGAGACCCTGAAAAGCAGATACCTCCTTTGCTTGCAGTGCCTTGAGGGGTTCCTGCTGCCTACAAGATGAAGTCCAGACTCCGCATTTTACAAGAGCTTTTCTCAGTTGGCCCTGCCCACCCCTTCCACACAGCTCTCCCCCATCCACACTAACCTGTAGCATCATCTAGTTACTCGCAGTTCCCCAAACTTGCCAGGCTATTTGAAGCCTCCAGCCTGAACCAGTGTCATTCCCACTGCCTGGAATGCTCTTCCATTCCTTGTTCACTGGTCAACTTCTATTTCTGGGCCAGTTTCTGACACTTCTATTGTGCAGCCTTCTTCAACTACTTCAGGTAATTACCTTTTTCTACTTCACGTTCATTGAACTCTTAGCTCTGTGCTAGGCATTGTGCCAGTGCTTTGCATGAGTCTGTTCAATTAATCCTCATGGTCCTGGGAGGGGAGACTAATGTCCACACGGGGCCCTTGAGAACATTACACAGATCAAGTGCCAGGCTCAAGGTCACATAAGCCTAAGCTCTTAGCCACCAAGCAACACTACCGTCTCTGGGCTTCTGTTCTGACTTGCAGACAGCACTCTGACTGGTCATTGTAGCCTGGTGTGTGCGCCTCTCCCCTCATCTCTGTCCAGTTCCTTCCCTGGGACAGAGGACCCGGGTGGCAAATGTCGAGTGAAGGTGGCACTGGGCCCGTCATCATCTTTTTTATGCTCTGTAGGCTCCTTACATGATCTTTTCATTTCTTTGTGAGAGTTAGGTATTGAAACTTTGCTTAGCCGTCTACAGGGGTCTCTGGCTCTCTGTTGGACCTGATGCCCCAAATACTTTTCACTTTCTTGTGTGTGGCACAACTGTACTTGGTGTCATGGAAACTGTAAAAGGAGAGAAGACATGGTCCCTGCCCTTCATTTGAAGAGGTGAAATTTACCACATGGGATACAACTAGCAATTAGAGGCAGTACATTTGAGTATTTGTACTGAGTATTTGGTTTTACAACGAATGCAAATTCTTCTGCATGACATACAAGGCCCTTGGTGACCCAATTCTAGACCACTTTTACGACTTCACCTGTTACTCTCCCACAGGCCTCTGTGACCCCGCCACCCCTACTGGTACGTTTCGTAGTTCTGCGAACTCACCGTGCTTTAAATGTCTCTGTTCCTTTGTACATACAGTGCCTTGGGCCAGGAATGCCTTCTCCTTCCTGCGTGCCCGGCAACGTCTTACTCATTCTTTACAACAACTGTCAGTGGGACCCTCACATAGCTATGTGTCCATTGTGTAAGACTCTTTGCTCTGATAAACACTGAGCTCCTTGAGGGCGAGGCCCATGTCTCAGTGATGGAAAAATGAATGAATGACTGTGAAAACTGGGTAACTGGAAAGGAGGGAGTGATGATGTTCCAGCATGGCTGGTTGTCAGTAACACGTGACTGCCAGAAAGAGGTCTGAATAAAGTGGCCAAAAGAGATGAGGGTGTGCCCTCGTGTGAAACAAGTCTGGAAGTAGGAGGCTCAGGGCTGCTGTGGGAGGACCATGAGAGTATCCGGAGCCAGCATCTATCCGCCCTGCTCAGCCACCTTCGATGCAAGACTTCCATCCTCAAGGTAACCTCATGGCTCCGAGTGGCTGCCAGAGCTACAGCCATCTCGTCCATTCCAGAAGAATGAGAAGGGCAGTGAGCAAAGAAAGGGTTCTCTCCATGAAAGCAGCTTCCTTCAAAAAGATTTCTCAGGGTCCTACTCGATAGTAGCCACCTTCATCCCTTAGGCCTAACTATAAACACATGGTTACCTCTAGCTGAATTTTGAAGAGATAAGTGTATGGTAATGAATGTAGGCTACTTATGCACTTAATTTAAAATGATATTTCTTAAAAAACAGCTTTTAGATTCGAATAGACTTTTCTCCAAAGAAAGTATAAATAGCCAATAACACATGACAAGATGCTCAGCATCCCTAGTCCTCAGGAAAATGCAAATCAAAACCACAATGAAATGTAGCTTCACACCCTCTAAGATGGCACTATCATCAAAAAGGCACTATAATAACAAGTGTTGACAAGGACATGGAGAAGTTGGAAACCTCGTACATTAAGTTGGAACCATAAAACAGGGCAGCCCCTTTGGAAACCAGTCTGGCAGTTCCTCAAAATGTTAAACATTTAGTTACCATCAACTCAGCAATTTTACTCCTAGGTGTATATCCGAGAGAACGAATGCATCTGTCCACAGTACAGGAATGTTTGCGGAAGCACAAGCCATAGCAGCTAAAAATTGGAAACAACCAAAATGTCTATCAAGTGATGACTAGGTCAACAAATTGTGGCATAGCCATATAATGGGATGTATTATTCTATTAAAAATGAAATACTGTTATCCACTGTAACATAAACCTCAAAAAATGTGCTAAAAAGTGAAATCATATAGTATGTGGCCTTTTGTGACAAAAGGCCACATACTATATGATTTCATTTATATGAAATGCGCAGAACAGGCAAATCTATAGAGACAGAAACTAGATTAGTGGTAGCCTGGGGATAGGGGGAATGGAGAGTGACCGCTAATGGGCTTCTTTATGGGGTGATGAAAAGGTTCTAAAATTAGATAGCAGTATTGGTTGCACCACTTTGAATATAGTAAAAGCCATTGTACACTTTTAAAAGACTGAATTGTATGGTATATGAATTATATCTCAATAAAGCTGTTGTAAAAATCAGCTTTTATCTGTAAGACATCTTTAAAATTAATCTCACAGGAAAGGAACTAGTAGGGGGCAGAGAGAACTTCCTCAAACCAGTTAAGATTTCAAGGATTTTATTTGTCTTCTCTTCATCTGAGTCCTGGCTTAAAAAAAAAAAAATCAGCCCTGCATGGTCAGGGTCAGATCCTCTGGCCGTCTGCCCAGATGACAGAGATTCTGACTTGTTCCTTTGTTCTGTGGACTTATTAAAAAAAAAAAATGAACCTATTTTTCTGAGTCTCCAGAGCTGAGGAATAGATGCCAGGGGGTCAGCAAATAGACATAAGAAGCCACTTTATCTGCTAATCAGCCGGATGTCAGGAGGGCTTGCGCTGTGGGAGCTCCTGTTTCTTAGAGATTTTGTTGCTGGTAGGTGAGCAGAGCAGCTCAAAGGCCGTGGGGGATGGAGTGTTGGATTTGGAAAGGTCTCCATGCCTGGAGTCTGCAGGCAGGCGACTCCTAACCAAGAGCTCTGTCTCTCCAAATCTCTGATTCCTTATCAATAAAACCAGAGAGATGCTGGCATTCTCACCCCAGGCTGGTCTCACCAGATCATGGCATGCACCTACTGGCTAAACACGATGGTGTGCAGCAGGGGTGTAGCCCTGGAATGGTGAACTTGGGGTGGCTCCAGAGGACGTGGCTTAGAAAGTGGAAGAATGAGATTGGTGGGAGAAGACAGCTGTGGACGTGGTGGGGAGTCACTGTCAGGGTGGAGGTAGGAGAATGGATGGTTGGCAGGCCGTGGTAACACGGGTCGTCAGCAGGCACTGGCCAGTGGCCTTTCCTCTGCTCTGAAGGTCACGGTTACTGGCAAGTGCACTCACTGGAGCCATCCAAGTCCAACCACTGGGGCGGCCCCTGACCCTGCATGGCAGTGCTGGCAAAGGTGATCGGGGGCTGGGCGGGAACCCTTCCTCCCTCAGCTTCTCTTAGACCAACCTTTCCATGTGTTCTGAATCCTCCAGCATCTTTTACAGAGGCTCACATTCTCAGGAAGCCCCTCAGAAATGAAATCATTTTTGTGTAGTGTGAGATCAGGAAGTGACTATAGTTTTGTTAATGTATTTTAGATTGATATATGGACAGTGGTATGTCCTCGTGGGGTTCATTTTGATCAGGTGAGTGAAATTTTCAGATCTGATTAAACACCCTAGAAGTTTATTTGCAGGGTTTTTTTTTCCCTAGCCATATTGTGTTCATCAAATTGTTCTTCATGCTCTCTCTCTTCAACTGGTGGTCTGTTTTGTTGTAAAGTAAGAAGATAAAAATAAAACACAATTTAGAAGAATGTCAGGTTAAAAACCACCTAGTAGCATCTAATGGTGTTCAGCTCTCCCAGACAGGAACATGCTTCTCTGCTAACCTCCCTTCCACACAGGTCCACTTGATGAGCACCCAGAACCCTTGAGAAGTCATATTAAAGTGGGGAAATACTATTATACTTTAATGGTTTTAAGGTGCACATTTTCCCTCATTTTAACATCTCTGAAACTGAGATATGTCCTACAGTCAGTGGCATCTTATGCTGATTCTTTTCCCTGTAAGATGGTGCATCAGTCACATCAAATCTTAGATTTTTGTGAAATGTGGCAAATGATATCGGTCATCGAATTAAGAAAACTCACTCCTTGTGTTTTCCTGTCTGCCCTGGGATGCACCTGTTGAATAACTATGCCCATCCTTGCATTGCAGACAGGAGCTTACCCGACCAGGAAGCGCATCACCTTCCTCCAGAGAAAGCTGATGAAACACTTTTTTGTTTTTGCAAGTTGTTATTAATAGACCACAAGCAGATCTTCCACCCTCAGCTCTCTAACGACAAAAGGTACAATGGAACCTTTCTCCCTTCCCGATCTTTTCCATTCCTCCAGCCCCCAGGGTGGTCCCTCTGCAGGAACTCAGCTTGCGTCACTGCTCCTGGGAGCTTTTCTGGAACCTGCTCATCCCCAGGCCCTCCCCAAAGTGGCTCGCGAATGCCGGTCTATCTGAGGTTTCTCTGGGAAGAGAAGTGGGGAGGGGCATTTCTTTGCCCTATTGTGGAGGGAGTGACCAATTCTTATCCTTCCTGGATAGGACCTGCTGGCTCGATGACCTAGAGGGGCCATTTCAGCACTTCCATTCTGTCTCCAGACCTTCACCTTAGGTAAGAACTTTTGCTCCCATTCACGTCTCAGAGTGCTCTGACTCTTCAGCTGAAGGTCCCTGTTGTCCAAGATGGACAGTATTACCTAACAGTATGCATGCTCCAGCAACATGAACGACATCAAGAGTAACCGAGAACTGTACCTGCACTATACCGCCATGGCCCCTAAGCTGCTGGCCCGCATCTCCAAATCACTCATCATGTGCCGGAACGCAAGCATCGCCATACCGAAGGGCATCAGAAACATCTTTGAGTTCACTTGGGAGGAGCTCATCACTGACCCCATGGTGCCTACCCCATCTGACATCCCTGGCCTGGAGATCAGCATTGGACCCCCACCTGTGGTGCTTGCAGAACCAACCCCTGTGCAGGTTCCTATCCAGAAGAAGCCGCTGCCACCACCAGTACCAACCCCACCAATGCTAACCACATCCACTGGGCCAGCTAAGTTCACCACCCAGACTCCCACCCCTGGCCATCGGGTGCAGTCCAGCCAGGACATCCTGAACAAGTTCCAGCGGCAGTCTATCCACCTGCTGACAGAGTTGCTCACCCTGAAGATGAAGGCCATGGTGGAGTCTGTGTCTGGTAAGCCTGGCGGGTCAGATTCATCTCCATTTTTTATGGGCCTGGAAGGATCTGCCTAGACCCATGGGTGTGTGTCTATGGCACCCGCCCCAGACAGGCAGGTGATGGTGCACTGGGAACAGTGGCGGCCATGGGTCTGCTCTAGGACCGGGACTCCTTTTGTGACCACCCCCAAGAATCATCCTCTCACTCCTCTCTGCTCTCCACCTTTTCTTCCCACTCCCCGACTTTGCAGAGCTGAGACAAGAAGGTTGGCAATGGAGAACAGTGTGAGGTCAGACGTCCTAAAGGGTAGAATTTGTGGAAATGATAGGTGAAGAGAGGCAGCACCCAGGAGGAAGAAGGATGTGGAGTTGCCAGTCAGGAGAGATGATTGGCAGGTGGAAGGACAGAGCCCTGTAGAGCCACAATCAGGGAGAGTTATGAGAAGTGGGGTACATCCATGGTGAGGGTGTCATCCCAAGATCAAGGCCAGGACCTTGAGCCACATCAGTAATCAAACCTAAATACTGTATTGTTTTAAATACCAACAGCATTGGCACCCAGATGGAAGGTATGGAAGAGAGAAGGGCAAGGTGGGCAGAGAGCAATGTGCCACCTGACAGGTTTCAGAACTTGAGACCCTTCCATTGGGGGCCTCCTCACACTTAACACTGTGCAGATCTCCATTCTACCTTTACTTCCTGAGCCACTTATGGAGATCCTTTTCTGGAAGCATTAGCCCCATGCTAGGAGGAAAATGAGTTGCTTTGATAATTCCTTTAGTAGGTGCCAACCCCCTGGACATCACAAGGCGCTTTGTGGAGGCCAGCCAGCTGCTCCACCTCAATGCCAAGGAGACGGCTTTCAACTACCTGATTGGTACAGCTGGGAGAAGTGGCTATGATGTTGGCCTGACTAGTAAAGGTGGGTACCTGAGCTTCAGCCCTTTGGTGAAAGTTCAAACAGTACCAGGGTACAATGGGAAGGTCAAATCCCCAGTTTAAACGTTTGACATTTCCAAGAGTTGAGGGGAATGTGGAACAACAAATGCTGCAGGTGAGTGTATAAACTGCTGCCGTTCCCATGGAGAGCATTTGGGTAGCATCTGTGGGGTGGAAGATGCTCTAACGCCTTTCAACCCACCAAGGGTTTTCTCCTAGGTCATTCCCCAGAGCTGTGCTCCTCAAACTGCTGTGAATTTGCAAATTTTCAATCTCTGGTGGACCGACCCTTTTTAAAAATATGATAAAGATGTCACAGCAACATCAAATTACTACAAGGGCTTCTAAACATTTCCTCTGAATTGTGCTCACATGATCATGGCCACGTGTGGGTTTATCCCAGCCCACAGATCATACTTGAGAGTCATACTTGGCATACATGTGCAAGAAATCATACTGGGTGCAATGTATATTGCAGAATTGTTTTGAGCACAAAAAAATTGAAAACCCAAATGTCCATCAACAGGGGGGAAAAACCAAGTACATTAGAGTCTATTTAAACAATGGGACGTAATGAGAAGTGAAAATGAAAATGAATCAAGCACAAAAGCTCATATATCAGTAGAGATAAATCTCAAAAACTAGTGTTAAGTAGAAAAGAAGCAAGTTATAGAAGGATACACTTGGGATGATACTATTTAAATAAAATTTAAAACATTGCAAAGTTATATCACCCATTGGTATGATACACAAAGTACAAGTATGCAAGTATAAAATTGGAGGAAGTGACCTTCAGAGAGGGATGGAGGGGACTGGGGTGTGGGTAAGACTGTGGTCCATTCACATCTGCAATACTGTGTCTCTTAGGCTTGGTGGACATACAAATATTCATTTGAATGTCTAAAGTCCTTGCTGTCGGGAGGTTTCGAAAAGAAGCATAAACAATTTATACAGCATTGATATTCCCCCCTTACCTGCAGTTTCACTTACTCATGGTCAACCAGGATTTGACAATATTAAATGGGAAATTCCAGAATAAACAATTCATAAGTTTTACATTGTGTGCCACTCTGAGTGGTGTGATGAAGTCTCTCGCTGTCTGACTCCATCCCACCCAGGATGTCAATCCTCCACACTGTGGACGCTTCTCATCCACCAGTCACTGTAACCATCTGGGTCCTCAGATCGACTGTCATGGAGTCACAGGCCTTGTGCTCAAGTCACCCTTATTCTACTCAGTAATGGCCCCAAAGGGCAAGAGTAGTGGTGCTGGCAATTGGGATGTGCCATAAAGAAGCTGAAAAGTGCTTCCTTAAATTGAAGAAAGTTTAAAAATTTGAAAAAATAAAACTTCTAGACATAATAAAAAAGAAAAAAACTGTATACTGAGATTGCTAAGATCTATGATAAGAACTATCTTCTACCCATGAAACTGTGAAGAAAGGAAAAAGAAATTCGTGCTGATTTTGCTGCTGCCTCTGAAACTGCAGAAGTTACAGCCACAGTGTGTGATAAGTGCTTAGTTGAGATGGAAAAGGCATTTGATTTTTGCATAGAAGACATGGACAGAGCATGTGTTCCGGTCAATGGGAACATGTTGCTCCAGAAAGCATTGAGCTTATCTGTATGAAGACTTCAGCAAGGGATCCCCAGAAATGAGTGACACTGGGCCATTTACTACAAGTGAGGGACGGCTGCACATTCAGGAATAGGTTCAGACTGAAAAATATAAAAATTACTGGCAAGAGAGAGAGAGCATCACATTCCCATTACTTTTTATTGCAGTATATTGTTATATTTTATTGTTGTTAATCTCTTATCGTGTCTGATTTGTAAATTAAACTTCATCATAGGTGTGTATGTATAGTATATATAGGATTTGGTGCTGTCCGCAGATTCAGACATCCACCAGGGGTCTTGGATGTGTCTCCCAGGGCTACTGTATCTTATAGCCATTTGCTCTCACCCATAAAATGCAGTTAGTAAAATTGCAGTCCTTGGGGGGGAATGTGGATTTCCTGAAGCCAGTGCAAGTGATGTTGGAGAGCTGCTTGGTCCCCACGTGTTGCCGCTGATGAGTGATGCGGTGGAGCAAAGCTAGTCGACTGCTGAAGACAGGAAACCGTCTAGGGAAATAGTGACTCCATGGAGAAGGGATGGTATCAGAGAATTAGAAACGAAAATTGATAAAGCTCTTGGACATCTTTTGCAAAAAACAACCATGAAGGGACTTGTGTTCTAAGAAGATGACACTGCATCAAAAAATTGACACAGCTTTTATTTCTCTTAAGAATTAGCATGTGCTACAGTATCAATGAATTTTTGTTAAATACAAGATAAAATAAGGCTATTTTGATCAATTTTGTTTTCCTTTTTTAAGATAAAATGCCAAACCTTTTCCCCCACACTATTTACCATGCAGCGGAGGTCTCCATTTTAGGGGACTGACTCTGAGCCAGTTCTGTTCACTATCAGTGGTGCCCAGGAAATGCAGGTCCTATAAATGTGCGTAACTGTTTTTGCAGATGGTTACCAGCATGTATGGAGTTCTGCACCTTGTGTTCCTAATAGAGATTAGAGACCCATCTCATTTGGGCGGAGGTCAGGTGCCCATTGGTCTGTTTATGAGTGAGGAGAGTCTCATGGGGGAAGGTCATAGTAGCTCTGGCCCAAGCACCCCCTCCCTCAGACCTGCACATGGCGCTCTCCCACCAGAACATTCCATTCCCTCACCTTGAAAAGGAAATGGCCATAACCATTAGCACTCCCCCCCAGGAAGTGTTGAAGTGTCTCTTGGAGTCTCAGGCGTGTACTTGTGCCATGGAAGATTCTAATGTTTCTCGTGGGTTGTGGTTAATCTAGTGGACAGGAATTTGCTGAGAGCTGGACTCTGGAGAGAGAGCTTTTTGGTGATGCCCGTGTCCTGCTGCCTTAGCGGAGCCCTGGGGAAGTCTTCCCCTTCATCACGCTGCCCAGAACATCTCTTGTGCTTGTTTCCACATCTGTTCTAGACACTTCTCTCTTTAAATGAGCCTAAAGTTTGAAGGAAAAAAATCTAAATGACAAAATATAAATGAAGAATATATTTCTTCTGGAAAAGCATTCATCTTAGAAGGACTTGCATTAGCTAGCTTTTCCAGGGCATTAAAAAGAAGATGCAAATTAATTTATTTTGCATGCATTTTGCTTTTCTAGACCATCTTATAATGTGAGGTAGATCAAAGCTGTAACCGAGTTTGGAGTGTTCTTCCCTTAAAGCTGTAGCCAGAATACACAAAGTATTCTTAGTAAAACTGGTTCCAGGCTTTCCCCCTGTACTAATACCTACTAGTCCTGGCGTTTCATGAAAGAAATTGGAGTGACCCTTGGGTTTTAGCCTATGGCAATATTATTAGATAAAACATATCAAGGAAAAAAGCAAATGATCTTGCCATCATTATATATAATTTTTCTTTCACTTAGGCAGCTCTCTCTCTCTCTCCCCCTACCTCATGTATTTTTAAAAGAATACCGTATTTTATATTTCTCAGTTTTATTGACTTAACAGACAAATGATCTCCAACATGTCTATGTAATTTTAGTAACAGTCATTTTCAATGGGTATAGATTCCTTCTAATATTTGTGTTCCATAATGAACCAAATGCTTAGGTTTCCAGGTTTTTATGTTAGTAGTATAATATGCATTGCAACATGCAACTCCATACACATCACTCCTTATTTCTGCTGTGAGACCGATTATGCCGGAGAGGTCTTGTTGGGGCAAAGGGTCTCAATATGTAGTTAACTCTTGCTAAATATTGCTTTCTTGATGGGTTTTCTCTACACCACAGAGTTAACTAGTTTTATTCCATTTTTACCAGCATTAGCTGTTGTTCATTCTTTGCTTCTCTGCTAAGTTAGAAGGTACTGAAAGTTTTCATTTCAATTTTTGAATCATGGTGATGGTGAGGGATTATGTGCTGCGTCACCCAGCGTACAGTCTCTGGTTGTCATCTTTGTTTGCTCGTGAAATCAGGTCTGCCATTCTCTTTATGAAATTGTATGAGCTGTGTCAATGAAGGAGTTGCCTAATGTTTTCTAACAACCATATTTGAGGGAAGAATAAGGGAAAGGATTTATTAAAGTTTATGTAAGAATGATCAAGATTTTCCATGAGTGATGGGGGTGCTGAGCCTAATTCTTAAGTGTTCAGATAATCAAATGATTCTATAGAAGACAGTATGATTCTGCAAGAGACTGAGCTAATAATGTTGGAGAAGCATCTGATTTTTGTGGTGTGGGTAAGGGAAAGCAGATGGCTTCCCGTTTCCTTCTAGCTGGCCCAGTGTTTACCCAGTGTTGACTCGACCCAGTGCAGCAGTTTGACCTGCACCTTGCTTGCCGCTCCCTGCTCCCTGCTCTGGTCATTTCACTCTTGAGAGATATTGGCGGCGGGGGGAAATGGGGAGTCTGTAAGAAGGAATCTTAATTTTCCTTAATTACTCAGAGCCTGCTTGTGCATTAAAAAGTCTTTTTACTCCAAGAGATGGTTATTTTATACAATATGACACTTTAGAATACCTGGTCTACCATTCTGCTAGAACAAAAAAAGTCCATATTATAGTTTTGCTTAAAAAATTCAAATTAAAAAATTGAAAGAAGAATTATTTTCTCTTCCACTCCAGAGTCCTTAATGAGCATCCCAGCCATGGGAGTGAACTCACCTTATCAACTTATCTATGAATCCTCTACCGGCTGTCTAAGTTTTTCCCTCTCAACTGGAAGGGAACTCAAGAAGAAAGCAGGTAACAGTGGCTTCCAGTGAGACCTCTTAGCCCACCTGTGGGGGTACGGGTGCGAGTGGGGGTGAAGGTAGAAGAGTCTGATTTGGTTTTCTGATAGGAAGGATATGTATCAGATGACCTGGCTGTTGACAGAAGCTATTGGCACAGATTCTTTCCCATAAAGTTGCCATATCTCACTAGTTACTCCAAAGTATAGTCTTACTATTTGAATGGTAAGACTTCCATTCAATCTTCCATGCCCTCCATTCCTGGAGATGTGCTGCTGCTTACCTGGAGCAACACTCCTCTCAAACCCACATCTTGCATCTCCTCAGTACCCCGGCCTGACCCCCTCTGATCAAAGAGGTTCGTGTTGCTCCTACTCACAATGCAAGTAAGGGAATCAGTGTCTGAAGACAAGTCTTTGGATACAAAACCTAACAGTGTGTCTTAAACTGGTCCCGTTAATGAGCACAGAAAACAAAGAAGACAGAGAGGGAAATCCTATTCTACCGAAGAAGACATACAGCAGAAGGAAAGGTTTAAGGGAAAGAATGGGGGTGGCAGATGAGGCTAAACAGCAGAGCAATGACTGTGCAGCCAGAATCTCAGACAGGAGGAGTTGAGGCTAGAGAAGGCAGAGTAAGGGCTCAAGGAACTTCCAGGCCATCACCCTCCTCCTCAGACTTTGATGGTAGAGTGGGAAAGTGGAGCAGGTAGGGGAGGAGTACATTCAAAAGAGGTGGCAGCAGGCTCAACATAAGGTAGGGATGCTCAAAGGCTGTTTAACTGATTTCCACAGACACTGGAGGTAAGGCCGGAAGTTGAGAAGTTTGGATCTCATTCCTGCCCCTGCCCCTGCCCCTGCCCCTGGCTGGCTATGTGATTTGCCTTCCTGCAGGCCTCAGTCTCCATATCAAGCTGATCCCATATCCTTTCAGTTAGTGAACAAGTGTTTATTAAACAATATTTAGTTGTCAGTCACTGTTCTAAATGCTGGGGCTACACACATGGACTCTAAGACAAAGAAGGCCTTCCCTAGTGGGGCCGGCATCATCAGCTTCCCCTCACAGAGTAGATTCAGCCGTCCCCTCTCATTTCCCTGGTTCTTCTACCTCTGTTGATGCCTCTTTTCTCCTTGTGGTGCAATAGCCCACAGTATCACTTTTGGCATCCCAGTTTATGTATCCCAGTTTATCATATCCCCTCCTGAGCTGGCCCTAAAGTGACCCAGTCACTTGAAAGGAAAACAGAGTACCCTCGAGACACACAATGATTTCATGATTTTTTTCTTCTTGATGACCTCAGGTCTAATACCTTGAGTAAGGTAGTTCCTAAGTAAAAGTTAATTATGTTTGTTGGTTTCTTTGTCTATATGGCTGTTTTCCTCTGCTACCCTACCAGGATGCAATTTGCCTCGATGTTTCATCATTCCCATTAGGATATATGTTTAAGGATGCTGCATTTCTTGTAGATTCTTAATATCTCTTGGAATTATTCTCACACATGCATTCTAGTATGGAATAACCTTCCCTAATAGTTTATAAGTAGTCATGCATGCTTTCTTGCCCAGGATTATCCTAGTTTATGTTTATTGTCCTGGCATAACTATTAAATAAGTCCACTTTCACTGTAAAATCTTTCCCAGTTTGGACAACATATTGTAGAGCAATTCTGGTTTTAAGTCACTAGGTTTGGACCTCCCCTACGTGCTCCATGCCCGTGTGTTATCACACCTCACCAGCTGGCCCCCTTTGCAGTTGTAGGGCCAGGCACACTTGGAGCAGGTAGGCTCCAGGAGTTGGGGCTACTCCCAGAGGACAATAGCTCTTACTGAAACGTTGCCTAATTTTACGAGAAGAGAACTGAGAGAGGTCTGTCAGCAATGGGTCCTTGTGAGAGCAAGAGGCTATCACCCTTGAGGACCCAAGGCAACCAGGTACAGGCCAGACATGGATGCTCAGGTCAACAGAAGTTCCAGGAGTCAGCCAGCTGGTAATTGGGTCTCAGGGTCAAGTCTCTGGTCTCTGGTGGCAGGAGGAATTAGAGGAGGGACCAGGAAACACTCAGGGTGGAACATACCAGAGACGGTACTCAAATGCTATCCAGAAACCCCAGGCCTGATAGACAGTCACAAAAACTCTGTCTGATGCCCTCAGGGCTCATTGGAGCCTGAGAAATGCCCCTGACATGAAGCCAGATTTTATTCTTGAAAACAAGGTGAGGTTGATCCTGCATATATCCACGGGGAGAATGAGGCTCCAGTCGGGTGGGCAATAGAAACTCAGAAGAAGGCAGGACCTGAATATATGCCTCTAAAACTTCAGTCCTGGAGGATTATCTTCACAATTTCTTTCTGTCATATCCTCATACCATCTAACACTTGTCACAGAAGATAACTGTAAAAATAAGTGCAAAAAACACAAAGCATTATCATCTACAGATGTGAGCAAGCAGATGAAGGAGTCAGAAAACTTGAAGGCAGGGCAATGGAAATTATTGAATCTGAAGAACAGAAAGAAAAGACTAAAAAGAAATGAACAGAGTCTAAGGGACCCATGGGACATTATCAACTGGAACTACATATGTAATGTGGGAGTCCCAGAAGAAGAGAGAGAGAGAAAGGGACGTAGAAAAAATGTGAAGAAATAATGGCTGAAAAATTCCCAAATTTCATGAAAGACCTAAATATAAGCACCAAAGAAGCCATTATAGTCAAACTTTCAAAAGACAAAGGCAGAGAGAACTTTGGAAGCAGCAAGATAAAAGCAAATCATTACATACAAGTAATCCTCAATAAGATTATCAATAGGCTTCTCATCTGAAACTTTGGAGGCTACAGATACTTTGGAGGCTATATATTCGAAGCATTAAGAGAAAAGTTTTTAACCAAGAATTTTATATCCAGCAAAACCGTCCTTCAAAAGTGAGATATTAAAACATTCCCAGATGAACAAAACCTGAGGGAGTTTGTGATCACTAGCGTAACCCTGCAAGAAATGCTTCAGGCAGTTCTGCGAGATGAAATGAACGTACACTAGCCCAGGTGCCCGGGGCGCAGGAGAGGCAACCACACACTGATGTTTCCCTCCCTTCCTCTCTCTCTAAAAATAAATACATAAAATCTTAAAAATAAATAAGTTATTTTTTTTAAAAGAAAGTATATTAAACAGTACCTCAAAGCCATGAAGAGACATAAAGATCTCAATAAAAGTAAAAACATGGCCAATTATAAAAGTAATCATATTGTAACAGTGGTTGGTAACTGCATTTTTCTATATGATTTAAAAGACTAGGCCCTGGCTGGTGTGGCTCAGTGGATTGAGCACGGGCCTGTGAAGCAAAGGTTCACCAGTTCGATTCTCAGTCAGGGCACATGCCTGGGTTGCAGGCCAGGTCCCCAGTAGGGGACACATGAGAGGCAACCACACGTTGATGTTTCTCTCCTACTCTTTCCCCTTCCCTTCCTCTCTCTCTAAAAATAAATAAATAAAAATATTTTCAAAAGACTAACACATCTAAAAATATTATCAGTGTTTTAAAGATGTTGTTTATGTGGAAACCACGTCCACATAACGAAGTCACATGATGACAAACCCGCAGTAAACACTGTACTCAGTGGTGAAAGACTGAAGGCTTTCCCTCTGAGACTAGGAACAAGGCCGGATGCCTGCTTTCACCGCCTCTATTCAGTACAGTGATGGAACTTTAGCCAGAGCAATTAGACAAGAAAGGGAATGAAAAGCATCCAAATTGCACTCCAGCTGGTGTGGCTTAGTGGACTGAGCACTGATCTGCAAACTAAAGGTTCACTGGTTCCATTCCCACTCAGGACACATGCCTGTGTTGTGGGCCAAGTCCCCCAGTATGGGGCATGTGAGAGACAGCCAAACATGGTTTCGCTCCCTCTCTTCCCCTCTGCCTAAAAATAAATAACTTTTTAAAAAGGCATCCAAACTGGAAAGGAAGAAATAAAATGACCTCTGTCTGCAGATGACATAATCTTATATATTTAAACCCTAGCGATCCCACCAAAAACCCTGTTAGAACTAATAAATAAATTTGACAAAGTAGCAGGATAAGATCAACGCACAGAAATAAGTTGCGTTTCCATACATGAACAATAAACAATTGGAAAAGGAAATTAGTAAAACAATTTCACTTATAATTGCAGCAAAAAGATACTTAGGAATTAACTTAACCAAGGAGATGAAAGACTTGTACAATGCAAACTATAAAACATTACTGAAAAAAATTAAAGATACACACATAAATGGAAACACATCGTATGTTCATGGATTAGAAGACTTAATGTTGTTAAAATGTCAGTAATGCCCAGAATGATCTATAGGTTAATTCGATCCCTATCCAAACCCCAATTATGTTTTCTGCAGAAACAGAAAAACTCATCCTAAAATTCATGTGGACTTTCAAGGGACCACTGAATAGCCAAAAACATCTTTTTTAAAAAAGGCAAAGTTAGAGGACTCACAGTTTCTGATTTTAAAATTTACTACAAAGCTACAGCAATCAAAGGAATAGAATAGAGAGCCCAGAAGAAAACTCTTGTGTATATGATCAAATATTTTTAAATTTATTTAATTATTGTTCAAGTACAGTTTTCTGTCTTTTACTCCCAACCCAGCCCACCTGCCCCGTGCTCCTCACCTCCCTCCCATTTCCCCCCCACCTTAGTTTTTGTCCATGTGTCCTTTGTACTTGTTCCTATGAATCCTTCCCCTTTTCCCCTGAAATTCTCTCCCCATGATCAAATATTTTTGACAAGGGTGCCAAGACCACTCAGTGGGGGAAGGACAGGCTTTTCAACAAATGGTGCTGGAAAACCGGACATCCACCTGCAAAAGTGTGAAGTTGGACCCTTTCCTAAGACTATTTACAAAAATTAACTTTAGATAGACCAAGGACCTGAATGTAAGAACCAAAAACAATAAAACTCCTAGAAGAAAACATTGGAGAAAAGCTTTATGACATTGGATTTCACAATGATTTCATGGATATGACACCAAAGGCATGGACAACACGAGAAAAAATAGACCAACTGGACTTCAGTGGAAATTTTTGCATTTTGTTTATCAAAAGACACAATCCACAGAGCAAAATGCAGTCCAACTAATGGGAGGAAATATTTGTAAATAATACGTCTGATAAGGATTGATATCCAGAATATATAGAAACTTCTAAAGTTCCACAACAAATACACAATGAACCTGAATTAAAATGGGCAAAAGACTTCAATAGAGATTTCTCCAAAGAAGATACACAAATGGCCAATGAGCATATGAAAGATGCTCATCATCACTAATCACTAGGGAAATACAAATCAAAACTGTAATGAAATGCTACTGCATGCTACACCAGTGGGATGTCTACTATCATAACACACACACACAAGAGTTAAAGAAGGTAAAAATGGTACAGTCACTGTGGAAAATTGTGTGGCAAGCCCTCAGAAAATTAAAAATGGATTTTCATAAGATCCAGCAATTCCACTGTATCAAAAGAATTAAAAGCAGGGTCTCAAAGTGGTATTCATCCACCTGTGTTCATAGCAGCATTAATCACATTGGCTAAAATGTGGAAGCAACCCAAGTGTCCATCAATGGGTAAACAGATACAGAACATGCAATCTACACAAAATGAAGGGCCTCTCAACCTGAAAAAGAAAGGAAATTCCAAAAAAGAAAGGAAATTCCAACACATGCCACAACATGGGTGAACCTTGAGGACTTCATGGTACATGAAATAAAGCAGTCCAAAAAAGAAGAACACCATGTGACTCCACTCATATTGGGTACATAGAGTAGTCAAGTTTATAGAGACAGAAGGTAGGATGGTTGGTGCTTTCCAGGGGCAGGTGGAGGGGGAATGGCAGTTACTGTCTAATGGGCACAGAGTTGTAATTTTGTGAGATAAAAAGAGTTACACAGATGGATAGTGATAATGGTTGGGCAACAGTGTGACTATATTTAACACCACTGAACTGTGCGCTTAAAAATGGTTATGGTAGTACATTATAGTTTTGTGTGTTTTACTGTAATGTTAAAAAAAAATTGCAGTCCAATACTCAGTGGATCCACACTGCCCTCCACAGAAGGCCTGAGTTTAGGCAACATCAGAGAAGTGTTGAAGCCAGATGAGACAGAATTGCAACTTTTTCCTTTGATCAGAAATACCAGCAGGGAATCTCTTTGGCATCCACGGTGGCATGTCTGTGCCCTCCCCACCTAGAGCCAGGCCATCCTTGGGGAAAGATAGCTGCTGGCTTCATCACTTCACACGAGCCTGTTCCCGACACATTCTTACTTGACTCACAGAGTGACGTCTGTTTTATACGTGAGCTTATAAAACAGAGATTCCTGTCCCCGGGAAGCATACATGACTCTTCCAATTATTTTGACTCCCAGTGGATCCTGCCTCCTGCTCCCCCAACCTCTCTTCCCCAGGAGAAGGCATTTTCTAAAACTCTGTCCTTAACCTCTGTATCTCCAGCTCCGGGCAAGTCAAAAATTTTAGAAGAGATACCCCCATCACCCCCTCAGCGAAGAATGGGAACTTCTTCCTCTGACAACGTGCAGTTCAGCGACCCCTGCCCTGAGGCCCGGCAGAAGCTGCAGGAGATGTGTCACCACATGTGAGCACCTCCGTGTTCGGGGGCGGGTGGGAGAGAAGGGCACGCCTGCCAGTTGTCTGTGTGCATAAAGGGCAGATCACGGAAGTGCCTGAGTGTCAGGCAGTGTCAGGCACCTGGTGCCCCTAACAGCAGTGACAGGGCGATGGCCTGTCCTCAGCCCTTCACAATCCTTTCCAGTCCTTATACAGTCTTATGAAGAACATGGATGTTTGCCCGTTTTGTGGGTAAGGAAACTGAGGCATTGCTTGAGGTCCCACAGCTCGATGGGTCTGACCCCGAGGCACTGACTTTGGTCTCCTCACCAGTGAAACCCCTTTACGGGACTTCTTACCATACATGTGTAGCCTTTCTGTCCTGAATGGTTCTTTCTTAAAATAACTTGTCAGGGTTCTCCCACAAAACAAACGCCTCTTAAAACAAACAAAAAATGTTGACATGGATAATTACTAATATTTATGATTTTATGGGTCCCATAAGTCCTAGCAAGCTAAGTCTCTACGTCTCTGAAGGCCCAGACCATGGGCCATAAAGAACTTAAAACTTAGTCACATCTAAGCCAAATATGTCTTGGGTTCCCTGGCCCTTCGGCATTACTGCAGCTACAGAACATGGGTAGAAGGAAGCCACTAGTTTTGCTCCTTTGACACTGTGGAAGGAAGCTCTCTTTCCCTGTAACCTCAGGACTGGAGGGTGAGCAAAGCCTCCACTTCCCCCGGATGCCCCTTCTGCACACAGCCCCTCTCCATGGGCCCCCACCTAGCACTGAAGGTGGACAGAACTGATCTCAAAGCTGTACCAGTCCCTTCCCAGTTCCTCCTAGGAATACTGACTTTAAGGAGGAGGAGTATGGGGTGGGGACAGGTACTCCTGGGACAGGGAAATGGCATGGGAGTCTTGGGAGCTGGGGCGGGGCTGTAGAGAGCCTTCCTGGAGAGTGAGAGCCAAGTGGCTAGAAGATACATTGCCTCCTTCCCTGCAGAGAAGCCGAAAGAGCCTTATGGAAAGGGAAGAATGTCTTCTACCCCATGGTCTTACGCAACTATAAGATAAAGGTGCCTTATCATCCAACATCGACCCCGAAAGGGGACTCTCAGACCCCGAGCTCCCAACACCCTAACTCTTCCGGTGCTCAGGTTTCTACTGCCGTCCTTCACCAGCCTCACATCTCCCGTGCTCAGTTCAGCTGGCAGTCTCAGGAGTGGAAGGGAGCCAAGAAGGCCATCAAGTTGCATTATTCCTTCTATGATGGGTCTTCCTTTGTTTAGTATCCTTTTATTTGGGGCTGCTCCCTTGTCCTCAGCCACCCAGCCCCAGAGAACTTCTGGGCCAGAAAAAGCCTAAGTAATACTTTGGTTTTTCAATTAATCCAAGAATCTTGGCAACAGGTCCTCCAGGGTATTAAGAGTTTGTCCAGGTCACAGAGGGCGGCTCCCTTTGGAGAACATCTGAGTGGGAAGCAGCAGGGCAGGAAGTTGTCTTGGACCCCTGTGTTCCTTGCAGGGGTCCTGTCACCTGCTCCCCATTGTGTGCTGGAACTGGACCAGGACCACAAGCACCCAACGAGTTTAGCAGCAAGGCTGCGGTCAGAGGGTAGACACTGACTCCAGGTTTTGCGGTCTGATTTGGATGCGACATCAAAGAGGGAGACGCTAGGCCGCTATTCATTCTTGTCCCTTCATTGTAGGAATGGGTAGTGTGATTCACGCAATGTCACAAAGGGAATTTGGTGGCAGAGCCAGGCCGGGATGAAGGGCTGCCTCACCTCCATTTAGGGCTCCCTCGCTGGCACCATTTTATGCCTTTCAGGATTGTTTTCTCCAGCAGAGAGCAGGGTAGAGAGGAGGGAAGGGCCCTGTGATAAAACCGCAGGGCACTCGGTGGCCCCTGCCTTTGGAGAATAGGGCAGCTGTCCGAGCTGTCAAACAGGCTACCCAGACAGGCCTGCTTTGCCACACACCCCTCAATTCATTGTGATCTCTCCACTGAGCTGGGAATTCGGAATTTAAGCACCCTGTCAAAGGAGTCCTATTGTTCCTCCGACTGTAAATGAGTCCATTCATCACACTCTGCTTGGCCCTGCTTCTAATGCGCCCTGTGATACTGAACACAGTAGACTGCTTCCAGGGCAGCTGCTGCTCCCTACGGGTCGTGGGGCTTCTCCCTCCCCCGTTTTATCACTGTACAGTGCATCAGATGGGATGGTTCCCCTGAGCTCCTCATGAAGCTGCGTCTGTGAATTAGGTTGCTGTCAGTGGAACCAGAGAGGGTAGACTACAATCAGGGCCCAGCACCAGCCTGCTGGGAGGCATGTTCTCTCACCTGCCTCGGAGTGCCAGCTCAGGCAGGGTGGGACCACCGAGAACCTGCAGGCCACTGCTGCTGGCATGCTGGACTCGTAGCCCAACAATGAGCACATCCTGGCAATTAATGTGTTTCCTCTATGGGAGGCCCAAGAGGTCTGGGTTTGGGCCCTAGTTCTTCTTAGTGACTGTGCACAAGTCACTTTATCTCTCTGGGCCTCACTTCCCTCCATTATAAGATGAGGAAGTTGGACTCAGTGATCTTGAAGGAGAAATTCAGTGTTACTGTGTGCAAATGGTTAAAACATGATGCCACTGTTGAGTCCCTCTTGAGTAAAGAAAATGTTTGGAAAACACTTCCCTCGCCTCATGGCTTCTGCAGAATGGTAGGCTCAGTGGTTAATTCTGTTTTCACAGAGATAACTGGGCGAAGCTCTCAGGTAGAAATGATATATCTGCCCTCGGGATGCCCAGATCTCCAAACCCTGATCGGTTTGCACTTGTGAGCATCAGACCCCAGAGCCATCCCAGAACTCGTTTCATTTGGGTTTTCAGCATCTGCCTGGATCTCTTCCCTCAGTCTCTGATTTCCCACCAAACTTCCCTCAAAGCCCTTTTTCGTTTGAAGATTTAAATTTACCACATTGAGATAAATATATAAACCTTAATCACTGGGTGCTCAGCACTGTTCCTTTAGGGATTTGTTGAACACTCCTAACCATTGTGTGAGGTACGCATGTTTTTTAATATAGTAAAATGCATGTAGCATCAAACTGACAATTTTAACCACTTTGATGTGTATAATTTAAACGGCATTGAGTGCATTCACGATTGTATATAGCCATCACCACTATTTAGTTCCAGACTTTGTCGTCACCCCAAAAGGAAACCCCATACCTAGTAAGCAGCCACTCCCATTTCCCTTCCCCGCCCTGTCTGGGGACAGCCAGTCTTTTCACCTCTGTGTATTAGCCTATTCAAGGTGATTTCATCTGAGTCAAATCACAGTATGTGGCCTTCTGTATCTGGCTTCCTTTACGTAGCATGTTTGCAAAGTTCTTCCACGTTGTACAGCTTACCCTTGAACATGGCAGGTTTTACCTGTGAATGCCCATTTAAATGTGGATTTTTTTTTCAATTAATGCATTCAGTTCAATTGGCCTTGCTCAGTTTAATTGTCTGAAGTTCCATTGACCATTGCAGCTCAAACTCGTGTTGCCAAGGATCAGCTAGAGGCTGGGACTCCCTGAATGTGCACGGCCAAGTTAAGGTGTCCGCAGATTTCCCACCGCACGGGCAGCCAGCGCCGCCGAGCCCCTGCGTAGTCCGAGGGTCGGCTTAGTATACACCAGTGCTTCGTTCCTTCTTCTAAAAAAAAAAGAGGGGGGTGAAGCTCACATGACATGAAAGTGATTCTTTTAACATTTACAATTCAGTGGCATTTAGTGCATTTGCAGTATTGTGCAACCACAGCCTCCATCATGTTCAGAAATATTCTTGTCGTCCCAGAAGAAAACCCTACACCCATTAACCGTTCCCTCCCCCTCCCCCCCCCCCAGCCCTGAGATCACCAGTGTGCTTCCTGTGCACCTGCCTGTTGTGGGCGCCCCATACACATGGACTCCTGCGATAGGTGGCCTTTGGTGTCCAGCTTCTTTTGCTTAATGTTTTCAAGGTTTGTCATGTTGTAGCAGGCATCAGAATTTCTCCCCTTTTGGCTGAATAATATTTTATTATTTGGATTATACCACTTTTAAAAAATTCATTCCTGCCTTGGCCAAGTGGCTCCAGTTGGTTGGAGCAATGTCCCATACACCAGAAGGTTGTGGGTTTGATTCCCAGTCAGAGCACATTCCTAGGTTGCGAGTTCGATCCCCAGTCTGGGCGCATACAGGATCAATGTTTCTCTCATCAGTGTATCGGTGTTTCTCTCTTGTTCCACGTGTGTGTATATGTGTGTGTGTGTGTGTGTGTGATTTCCCCATCTCCCAGACTCTTTCTCTCTTTCTACAATCAATAAGCATATCCTCAGGTGAAGATTTTAAAAAATTCATTCTTTCATTTGTGGACATTAGGTTGTTTCCACGATTTGGCTATTGTGACTAGTGCTGCTACGAACATTCTTACAGAAATCTCGGCTTGCACACCTGTTCTCAGTTCTTTTGGTTCTGTACCTAAGAGTGGAATTACTGGGTCACATGGTAATTCTATGTGTAATTTATTGAGAAACCTCCAAAATGGTTTCCATACTGGCTGCACCATTGTATATTCCCATCAGCAATGTGTGAGATTCCAGTTTCTTCACATCCTTGACTGTACTTGATATTTCTCAGTTTTTTAATTCCAGCCATTCTAGTGGGTGTGAATTGTTATCCCATTATGGTTTTAACTTGCATTTGCCTAAAGCTAATCATTTTCAGCATCTTTGTATGCCTTCTTTATATACCTTTTTTTTGTAGAATATATCTTCAAGTCCTTTGTCATTTGTTGACTATTTTTTCTTGTAAGAGTTATTCATATATTGTGGATACTAGACTTTTATCAGATATATGATTTGCACATATTTTTCCTATACAGTGGTGTGTCTTTTCACACTCTTGATAGCATCCTTTGGAACACAAAAGTTTTTAATTTTGATGAAGCCAGTTTTTCTTTTTTGTTTGTTTGTTTCTTGTACTTTGGTTTTTATATCTATGAACACTGCTTATTCCTATTTTTCTTTTAAAAATTTTATAGTTACAGCCTTTGTAGTTAATTTTTGCATTTTTTGCATGGTGTGAGATAAGGGTCCAACTTCATTCTTTTGCATGTGATATCTAATTGTCCCATAACTGTTGGAGAGACTATTATTTTTCCAGTTGAATAGTCTTGGGACCCTTGTTAAAAGTCAATTGACCATAGATGTATTAGTTTATTTTTTGACTCTCATTTCTATTCCATTGTTCTACATGTATATTATTATGCAAGTACCACACAGTTTTGATTCTTGCAGCTTTGGAGTCAGTGTTAAAATCAAGAAATATGAGTCCTTCAACTTTGTTCTTTTTTCGAAGATTATTTTGGTTATTTGGGATCCCTTGCAATTCTGTATGAACTTTAGGATCGTGTTTTCTATTTCTGTGAGAAGATTGATGAAATTTTTATAGAAATTGCATTGATTCTTTTGATCACTATGGGGAGTATTGCCATTAACAATATTGATTCTTCTAATTCATGAATACTAGCAATAAATGACCTGAAATGCTGTAAGTACAACAACAATAAAAACTTCAATGAACAAAAGGAAGTGATATCATTTACAATAGCATTAAAAAGAAAAGAATACTTTGGAATAAATTTAACCAAAAAGGTGTAAGACTTGTTCACTGGAAACTACAAAATATTCTTGAAATAAATTAAAGCAGACTGAAATGAGTGGAATGATACCCTGTGTTTATTAAGGACTACTGATTTTCATGTGTTGATCCTGTGTCCTGTAACTGTGCTTTGTATGTTTCTAGGAGTGGGTCCTTGTCATCTAGGTTATGTAACTTGTGGGTGGGTGAACAATTGTTCACATAGTTCTCTTATGATCTGTTTTCATTTCTGTGAGGTCATTAGTAATGTCTTCAATTTTATTTATACTTTTAGAAACTTGAATTTTTCTTTTTCTCACTTAGTCTAGCTGGCAACTGGTGAATTTTGTTAGTTGTTTCAAAGAACTGTTTTGTGTTTTGTTGGTTCTCTCTATTGTTTTGCTATTCACTATTTTGTTTTTCTTTGCTCTGATCTTTATTTCCTTCCTTCTGCTAACTTTAGTTTTAATTTGCTCTTTTTATAGTTCATTAAGGTGGAAGTTTAGGTTATTAATTTTATATCTTTCTTCTACTTTAATGCCAGTATTTATAACTATAAATTTCTTTCTGAGCACCAGTTTTATTTTGTCCCATATGTTTTGGTATGCTGTGTTTTTATTTTTATTTATCTTATTTTTTTCCATTTTCTTTGTGATTTGTTCTTTATCCATTGGTTGAGTGTATTGTTTAATTTTTTTTATATATTTCTTTTTTTTTATTGATTATGCCATTACATTTGCTCTATTCCCCCCTCCATTCCCCTCCACCCTGCATACCCCTCCCCCACCATTTCCCCCTTTAGTTCATGAACACGTGTCTCAAATTCTTTAGATTCTGTATTTCCCCTACTATTCTTACCCTCCCCCCTATCTATTTTCTATCTACTGTCTATGCTACTTATTTTCTGTACCTTCTCCCCTCTTCCCCTCCTCCCACTCCCCTGTTGCTAACCCTCCATGAGATCTTCATTTCTATGGTTCTGCTCCTGATCTAGCTGTCCTCTTAGTTTGCTTGTTTTAGGTGTGGTTCTTAATAACTGTGAGTTTGCTGTCCTTTCACTGTTCACCTTTTTTATCTTCTTTTTCTTAGGTAAGTCACTTTAACATTTCATATAATAAGGGCTTGGTGATGATGAACTCCTTGAATTTGGTCTTATCTGAGAAGCACTTTATCTGTCCTTCCATTCTAAATGAAAACTTTGCTGGGTAGAGCAATCTTGGTTGTAGGTCTTTGGTTTTCATGACTTGGAATACCTCTTTCCAGCCCCTTCTTGCCTGTAAGGTCTCTTTTGAGAAATCCGCTGACAGTCTGCTGGGAACTCCTTTGTAGGTGACTGTCCCCTTAGCTCTTGCTGCTTCTAGGATTCTCTCCTTCATTTTAATCTTGGCTAATGTAATGATGATGTGCCTTGGTGTGTTTCTTCTTGGGTCCAACTTCTTTGGGACTCTCTGAGCTTCCTGGATTTCTTGGAAGTCTATTTCCTTTGCCAGCTTGGGGAAATTCTCCTTTATTATTTGTACAAATAAGTTTTCCACTGGTGGCTGTGCCTTTCCCCCTTCTGGTACCCCTATAATTCGGATGTTGGAACGTTTAAAGATGTCCTGGAGGTTCCTAAGCTTCTCCTCATTTTTCTGAATTCTTATTTCTTCATTCTTTTCTGTTTGATCATTTTTTTCTTCCTTTTGGTCCACTCCCTTGATTTGAGTCCCAATTTTCTTTCCATTACTATTGGTTTCTTTTGTATCACCATTCATTTCAATTAGTTTAGCTTCCATATGTTTCTCTAATTTGTGACTAAAATCAACCAGTTCTGTAAGGATCCTGATAACCAGTGTTTTGAACTGTGCATCTGAAAGACTGGCTATTTCTTCATCGCTTAGATCTATCGGTTCTGGGGCTCTGAGTTGTCCTAGAGCCATTTTTGGTCTATTCGTGCTGTTAAGTGAGCGGAGCGAAGCCTTAGTTGTTTACCAGGATGGGGAGACCCAGGTCACTGGTTTGTGACACTGTGTGTGGGGGCGTGGTCAGAGAGGGAGCAATGGCGGTCATCTCCGCTAGCCCAGCCCGTCCAGTCACTCCACACGCCTCGGGCTTATTTATTCAATCGGAATTGTGCAAGGCTGCTGCCCCGCGCAGGCTTCCCTTCTCACTGGTTTCTCCGCACGTAAATGCGCGCGACCGACCGACCTGCCACGCCTCTTCCCAGTGCGCTCCACAGCCAGCTCGCTGGAGATCAGCGCCCTTGGTTGCCTGCGCGCACCACGCACCACCCCGGGAATTTTTTCTTGCTAACCTGCTCTGCTGCTGGCCTCGCTCCTCGTACTGGTCCAACTGAGTATCTAGTTGTCCTTTGGACTCCGTATTGTCGATTTTCCGTGTGGCTTGGTTGTGACTGCTGTTAAAAATAGTTGTTCTTAGATTTGGTTGTGCACAGAGGCAAGGTGGTTCCTCCACCTACGTCTCCATCTTGGCGAAAGTCCCTAATTTTTATCTATTTGTGAATTTGCCCAATTTCCTTCTGCCAGTGACTTCCAGTTTCATTGTTTTGAAATATACTTTTTATGGTTACTGTCTTTTAAAATATATCGATAGCTGTTTTGTGGTCTAGCATTTGTCTATACCAGAGAATGATTCGTGTGGACTTGAGAAGAATATGTATTTTGCTGTTGTTGGATAGGATACTCTGTATAGGCCAATGAGGTTTGGTTGGTGTATAATAGTGTTCAAGTTCTGTATTTCTTTTTGATTTTCTGTCTAATTGTTCTATCCATTATTGAAAGTGAGGTAGTGAAGTCCTCAACTCTTATTATAGTATTTATTTTTAATTCTGTCAATTTTTGCTTTATATAATTTAAGGTTCTGTTGGTAGGTGTGTGTATGTCTATAACTGTTCCATATTCTTGAGGCATCGAGCATTTTCTGAATACATAGTATACCTGTTTGTCTCTTGTGAAAGAATTTTTACTTAAAGTTTGTTTTATCTGATATCAATAAAGCCAACTTTGTTCTCTTTTGGTTACATTTTGCATGGAATATCCCTTTTCATCATTTTACTTTTAACCTAGTTGTGTCTTTGGCTCTAAAGTGAGTGTCTTATAGACAACATATATGTATATTATGTTTTTTAAATCCATTCTCACAATCTCTGCCTTTGTTTGGAGAACTTAATCTATTTGTATTTAAAGTAATTGCTGATATGAAAAAGCTTAATTCTGCCATTTTAAAAATATTTATATCTTTTTTGTTCTTCAGTTCCTTCATTACTGCCATCTTTTGTGTTTGATTTTTTTTATAGGATAACATTTCGATTCCCTCCTCATTTTCTTTTCTCCATATTTTCAAAGTTATTTTCTTGGTGGTTATCTTGGTATAATGGGTTGAATAGTGTCTGTCAAAAATTTATGTTCACCTGAAACCTCAGAATGTGACCATATTTAGAAGTAGGATATTTGCAGATATAATTATTAAGTTAAAATGCAGCCATATTGGGTTATTGTGGGCCATAGTGCAAGAAGAAGAAACAGAGTTACATTCAGAGTAATTAAGGTCATGTAATGACTGAGATAGAGATCAAAATGAGGCATTTGTAAATCAAGGAATGTCAAAGATTCCTGACAACCACTAGAAACTATGAAGAGGAAAGGAAGGATTCTTCTCCAGAGCCTCCAAACCCATGACCCTGTCAACACCTTGCTAGTCTCCAGAACTATGAGATAATAAATTTCTGCTGTTCAAGTGGCTTAATTACAGGAGCCCCAAGAAACTAATGTACTTGATTACTACAACTGACAACAAACTAGTTTGAATTAATACTAACTTAGCCTTGATGGTATGCAAAACTCTGCTTCTATATAGCGTATTCCTCCTCCTTTATGTTGCTGTTATCAGAAATTACATCTTTATTAGATGTATGTCATTAACATAGGTTTATAATGATCACTTTATGCATTTGTTTTCTTCAAATCACATAGGAAAGAAAGAGGAATTATAAACCAAAAATACTGTAATACTGGCTTCTATATTTACTTATATAGTTACTTTACTGGTGTTCTTTATTTCTTTGCGTGTCTGTGAGTTACTGTCAGGTGGCCTTTCATCTCAGCCTGAAGGACTTCTTTTAACATTTCTTATAATGATGAACTTCCTTAGCCTTTACCTGGAAAGTCTTAATTTCTCCTTAATTTTTCAAGGATAGTTTTGCTTAATATAGAATGCTTGGTTGACTGCTATTTTTCCTTCAGCTCTATAAATATTCCATCATACTGCCTTTGGCCTCCATGGTTTCTTATGACAAATTGGCCATTTATCTTGTTGAAGATCCCTGTACATGACAAGTTTCTTTTCTCTTGCCTCTTGAAGGATTTCCTCTGTCTTTGCCTATTGGCAGTTTGATAATAATGTCTCAGCTTGTCTCTCTTTGAATTTATCCTATTTGGAATTTGCTGAGCTTATTGATTAAATAATGGATGAAAACTCCCCAAATTTTATGAAAGACATCAATTTTTTATAAAATTTGGGTTTTTTTCATCCATTATTTATTCAAATATTTTTCTGCCTTCTTTTGCTCCTCTTCTTCTGGGGCTCTTGTTATGCATATGTTGGTTGATTTGATAATCATCCACAGATCTCCAAGTCTCTGTTTGTTTCTCCTCATTCTTTTTTTTTTTTTTCAGTACCTCAGACTGGATTTCCATTACTCTATCTTTAAGTTCACTGATTCTTTCTTCTGCTGTACCATTCTACTGATAAACCCATTTGGTGAATTTTTTCATTTTATTTATTATACAATGCAGCTTCAGAATTTCTGTTTGGTTACATTTATAGTTTGTGTTAATTTTTTAACAGTTTGTGGGAGAGGATCAAGAGGATCCTAGTGCCACTCCCTGAAATTTTTCTGTCTGATGTACTTCTGAAATTTCTGTGAACAGGATAGTAGCTGCCCATCCCATATCCCTCTTAGCTGGAACCAGTGCTTGTTTGGGCCTCTTGGTAAGTAATGAGCAAGTACACACTGACTGCTCTCCTAGATTGGCCAGAAGAGGAGGCAGCCCGACAGCATTAGAAATATTACTGGCCTGAGTTGAGATACTGGCTCTACTGCTTCCTCGTGCTGTGATGTGAGGCAGACCATTTCTTTGCACCTTGTATTTCCCAGCTGTAGAGTGATCAGGTCATGTTGGTTTGCCCAAGACTTTCCTGGTTTTAACAATGAAAGTCCCACCTCCCAGGAAACTGCTCAGATGCAGGGAAACCCTACTCATCTCTGAGATGGAGATGATAATATTTACCACTGGGTGGTTTTGAGGAGTAGAAAGAAGATACAGGGAAGCACCAGAGGCATGTAAGTTCCACAGTCATTTAGTAATTTCTTATGCAAAGTGTAGGGAGGGTCTTTGAAAACTGGGAATGATGTATCATTAAGCTAACACTTAGACTCGTAGACTTGCTTTCCATGGGTCACCTGAGAGAAGAACCTGGGGAATTTATTGTTAGTTCTACTTAACCATTTCTGCCAGCTATCCCTCCGGAAATATTGCTCTGTGTCAGATTCCCACATGCTGCAGAGGGAGAACCATCACCTGCCTCTTTAATGACACACCAAACTTCTCTTTCCTGGCCCTGTTTGATGCTGAAGGCCAGGGCTGCGTTCACCACAACCTAAAGGCCTGGTGAGTGGGTTGGGGAAATCACGGCCCCATGTAAGTATCTCTGGGGGCAACAAAGGGGGCACTTAGGTGGCAAGTAGGAGACTCTGGGGAAATGAGCAACCCGGCAGTGTCCAGAGGCTAAGGGAGTCAGTGAAGCAGTGCCTGCTGCAACATAGGTACTTTGAGGCCCTCACTTGCTGTATCTGTGTCATAGCCAATGAAAATGGCAATTCTCTAAGGCCTACTCCACTTGTATCCCCACAGCACTAAGACCTTGAGTATCTAGTAAAACTAGATTCATGGAACACGTTTTTGTGGAAAGAAATGTTTTACACCATGTAAGAGTGAAGGAGAGACCATGGGCATCACATTTTTGCTGGCACACATATTTGCCAGCCAAAAGTTGATTTTGCCTGGCCTTTCATAAGGAACTGTTCTTGGAAGAAATGACTTACCTTCATGTGTCAAAGGGGTGGATGTCAAAACATTTACTCATTTATTCATTTACTCATTCATTTGAGGCAACTGTGAGGCCACATCAGCCTCACAGTTGCCTTCAAAGGGCCAAATGTAATTTCAACTCTTTAACAGTTAAGGAGTAGTTACATTTATACAGTCCTAAAATAATTTCAGCCCTTTGAAGGCAACCACAAGGCCGACGTGGCCCCCGGTGAAAATGAGCTTGACACCCCTGTTAAAGATGTTCCCATTTTGATGTGTAAGGTCTTGTATATTCAAGTTCCTGGGCAACAGGGCACATATTCCATTTCTATCCCTTTTGGGTTTGGCCTGAGTCACTATCACCTCCCTCAGACCAGCCCTTCCCAACAAATTCTACCATTAGTATCAACAAGTATTATGGGGCCCCAGACCATATTAAGCAGGGGAAGTGAGGCTGCCTACAGGACTCTGTGCTTCCTCCAGCTGGGAGAGAGTTTCAGAGCCCTGCCTGCCTACAGCCTGTAGTGATGAGTGCTTCCTTCAGGGGTCTGATAGCAGTTCCTCACCTATGTGTCTCTCCTAGCTGCCCATATGTCTTGATCTTGGATGAGGAAGGCGGGACTACCTACGACGACAAGGGTTATGCAGTTCACAAGTGGAGCTGGGCTTCTAAGACGGAGACTTTGCTCTCCCTGGAATATAAGGTAGGGATTGGCAGCACAGGTAGGGTGACCTTGGCAGCCTGGGCTGCTCAGCATCAGGCTACCAGAGGGCTACCTGTAAGGCAAGAACCCTGCTCTCCAGGATCTTTTTTTTTTATCTTTAAAGGGGAAGGGAAGGAGAGAGGGAGAAAAATATCAATGTATGGTTGCCTCTCCTGCGTCCCCCGCTGGGAACTGGCCTGCAACCCAGGCATGTGCCCTGACCTGAAATCAAACCACAATCCTTTGGTTCACAGGCCCATGCTCAATCCACTGAGCTACAACATCCAGGGCATCCAGGATCTTGTAGTCTCATTCAGAGGTTCCTAAGTTGGTGGGCAGTGGTCCAGGGCTGGCTAAAGTGAACTTTTCAACAACCTACAGCAACTGTTGGCTGTGTACTAACCTTTTTTGGTAATATCCTATCTTATTTTTATTATTAATACTATTACATTTGATAGTTTAAATGTTCATTATTTTAGGAAGTAACTATTATAATAGTTGATAGTTTTATTTTTAATGCCTATACATGGCAAAAAGAAAAATTAGCAATTCTATGTTGGTCTCTCTAGTTTTTGTTTTTATAACTTTGCTATCTGTAAAATTAAAAAGCCTAGAAGTCAATGGTGGCTAATAAACCCAAACCTATTTTTTTCTTCCATTGAGTTGTTCAAACAGCCATTAATCAAATATTTATTGATTAGTCAATGTTGAATTACTAATACTAAATTAAATGTGCTTAATCAAGCACATTTCTTAAGTGTGCTTATCACTTTAGCCTGAGTTCCTCATCCTTAGCACTAGTGACATTTGGGGATGGGTGATTTTAGCAGTATCTCGCTAGATGCTAGTGTAGTACATTCTCCTCCAGCTATGATAATTGAAATATACCGCCAGACATTGCCAAATGTTCCCTGGGGGTCGAAATTGCCCCTGGTTGAGAATAACCGATCTAGGGGATATAAAGATGAACATACCCCTTGAGAAACTCAAAAGTCTGGGTGGAGGTTAATAAGAACACAGGGTAGAGAGGGATCAGGGCTGTGAGAGAGGTACAAGCTCATAGGGTCAGGATTCAAGGAAAGATCACAGAACATAGAATCTACTCAAACTGGCCTGAGAGTAAGAGCCCCCAAAAAAGGATCATGGACAGAAGTGCTGTAGGAGTGTATGATGGGGCTCAAGCATCTGATCCCTAATCTCCTGTCTCCTGCCTTTCCTGTTCATCCTCAACATTGGCCACTACATTATCATCCGTAGGTCCGGATTCCTTTAGAGCAGTGAACCTCTGCTCAGAAACATTCCCTCTCCTGAACATGTCTCAACCTTCTGACCAGCCCCCTTCCTCACACTGGCCTGATATGCACTCCTTCTTTTCTCTGGCAATCCAAAATTTCCCTTCTTCAAACCCCTGGCTGAGACTTTCCCTTCTTTATGACATCCCAACCCACACCCACTTCTCTCTATTCACATTGCCCACAGTCTGGATTAGTCATTTGATTAGTCATTCAATGTCAAGGTTCTCAGCTCTGGTTGCATATCAGAATCACCTATGGGACTTTAAAAATGTATATTCCCAGGCACATTCCCAGAGAGATTCTGATTGAGTTGGTCTCATGAGTTCTGGATTTTGAAGTTTTTGTGAGTATCACTGATACTTGGCCAGGTTCAAGATTTTCAATCCAGGAATCTGTTGTCTTAAAATTTACCTTATGTAGATATGTGAAAAGTGTATAATGCAAGATATAAATTGATTACAGGCAGGCACCATATGTTGTGTGTCAGTGTGGCCAAGTGGACAGAGAACTGGGATGAGAGTCGGAGAAGCCAAGCACTAATGCCAGGTTCTCTGGGCTGTGCAGCTTTGTGAAAACCATTCACCTTCTCTGAGCCTTGGCTATCTCACCTATACAAGGTGGGTCACCAGACCTGCTCTGCTGCCTCAAACTGCTCTTGTTTGAACTAAATGAAATAATAGAGGAGAAGGTGCTTTGATATCACTAAGATGTTTTAGCAGCGTATTTCAGTTTATTGTCCTGTTCCTGGTGCTGCATACAGAAGTACACAACAGAGCCCAGCCCATTAGGAGTGGCTTGGAAAACAGTGTCCCTTGAGTTGTAGCATGAATTTGTATGCATATGATTTACAGAGAAAGAAAAAGGAAGGGACGGGGTGTGGGGTAGAGGGAGTAGCATCTGAAAAAGCTGAAGTTGGGACTCAGTGTGATATTGTTAAAAGTTCACAAGTGCCTCTTTTGTAAGAAACAGGGCCAGGAGGCGTATATGTTGTGTTGTGAAGGTGAGAGGATGTCACCTGACATTGGATGTCAGGCTGAGGTGCACGAACGCTCACTTGGAGGCTGCAGTGGTCAGTGTATTTTCACCCAGTGTAGCAGTTCCAAAGTTCTTATTCCTCCCCAAAAATACAAGTCTCCTTCTGGTATATGTTCTTCTCAGATCAAAGAGCTTCCTTAGCATTTCTTAAAGTATAGATCTGCAGGCAACACATTTTGTTTTCTTTAGTGTAAAAAATATGTGTTTATTAAAGGATATTTTTGCTAGATCTAGGATTCTGGGTTGATTCTGTTTTCAATTTTGTATTTTTTTTTAACATTTAAAGATGTTGTTCTGCTGTGTCTGATCTCTATAGTTTATGATCAAAAGTCTGTACTTATTCAAATCATTGTTCATTTTCTCTAGCTGCTTTCAAGATTTTATCTTTTCTTTGATTTTCTAAGTTTGGATATAATATGTTTCGGTGTTGTTGTCTTCATATTTATTCCATTTGGGATTTACTGAGTTTCTTGAATCTGTAAATTCGTGTCTTTCACCATATTTGGGAAATCTGCCATTAGAGAAAAAAATTATACTTCAGTCTCTCTCCTTTTCTTCTGAGACTACAATCACATGTATTTTTAGACATTTTAATATTGTTACAAAGGCCCCTGAGACTCTGTTACTTTCTGTTGTTGTTCACATTTTTTCTCTTTACTTTTTAAAAAATTACTGTTGTTCAATTACAGCTGTCTGGATTTTCTCCTCCTCCCTCCCTCCACCCCAGCCAAACCCACCTCCCTCCCCTGATTCCACCCACCCTTGGTTTTGTCCATGTGTCCTTTATAGTGAAAACCCTTCTCCCCACTGTCTCCTCCCCTTCCCCTCTGGCTATTGTTAGATTGTTCTTGGTTTCAGTGTTTCTAGTTATATTTTGTTTGCTTTTTTTCTTTTGTTGATTATGTTCCTGTTAAAGGTGAGATCATATGTTATTTGTCCCTCACCGCCTGGCTTGTTTCATTTAGCACAATGCTCTCCAGTTCCATCCATGCTTTTCCAAAGGGTATATAAGCTCCTTCTTTCTCTCTACTGCATAGAAGTCTATTGTGTAAATGCACCATAGTTTTTTTGAGTCACTCATTTGTTGATGGACACTTAGGTTGCTTCCAACACTTGGCTATTGTAAATTGTGCTGCTGTGAACATTGGAGTACATAGGTTCTTTTGGATTGGTGTTTCAGGGCTTTTAGGGTATAATCCCAGCGGTGGGATTGCTGGGTCAAAAGGCAGTTACATTTTTAGTGTTCTGAGAAAATTCCAGACTGTTTTCCACAGTGGCTGCACCAGTCTGCATTCCCACCAACAGTTCACTAGGGTTCCCTTTTCTCTGCAACCTCTCCAACACTCGTTTGTTGATTTGTTTATGATGGCCATTCTGACTGGTGTGAAGTGGTATCTCATTGTGGTTTTAATTTGCATCTATCTAATGGCTAGTGATGCTGAGCATCTTTTTGTATGTCTCTGGGCCCTCTGTATGTCTTCCATGGAGAAATGTCTGTTCAAGTCTTTTGCCCATTTTTTAATTGGGTTTTTTGTCTTCCTAGAGTGGAGTCCTGTGAGTTCTTTATATATTTTGGAGGTCAAACCCTTGTCCAAAGTATCATTGGCAAAATTGTTTTCCAAAATAGTTGGTTCTCTCTTCATTTTAATGCTGGGGTTTTTTTGTTTTTGTTTTTGTTTTTTTGCTATGCAGAAGCTTTTTAATTTGATGAGGTCCCATTTCTTTATTTTTTATGTTCCTTGCTTTAGGGGACAATATCCATGAAGATGTTGCTGCATGGAATGTCTGAGATTTTCTTGCCAATATTTTCCTCTAGGACTTTTATGGTGTTATGACTTATATTTAGGTCTTTTTATCCACCGTGACTTTATTTTTGTGTATGATGTAAGTTGGTGATTGAATGTTGCTTTTTTTGCATGTTGCTGTCCAGATCTCCCAATACCATTTCTTGAAGAGGCTATTTTTGCTCCATTTTATGCTTCTTCCCCCTTTGTCAAATAATAATTGACCATAGAGACTTGGGTTTATTTCTGGGCTCTCTGTTCTGTTCCATTGGTCCTTGTGCCTGTTTTTATGCCAGTACCAGGTTGTTTTGATTACAGTGGCCTTGTAATACAGTTCGGTATCAGGTATTGTCATCCCTCCTGCTTTGTTCTTCTTTTTAAAAATTGCTGCAGCTATTCAGGGTCATTTATGATTCCACATAAATTTCTGAAATGTTTGTTCTATATCTGTGAAATATGTCATGGGTTTGCATTGAGTCTGTATATTGCTTTGGGTAGTATGGCCATTTTGATGATATTAATTCTTCCAATCCATGAGCATGGTATATGCTTCCATTTGTTTGTGTCTTCCTTAATGTCTTTCTTCAGTGTTGTACAGTTTTCTAAGTACAAGTCTTTTACCTCCTTGGTTAGGTTTATTCGTAGGTACTTTATTTTTCTTGTTGCTATATCAAATGGGATTTTTTTGGCCTGATTTCTGTTTCTGATGTTTCATTATTGGTGTACAAAAATGTCTTTGATTTCTGCGTATTGACTTTGTATCTGGCTGTTTTGCCAAATTCACTTACTAGGTTGAGTAGTTTTTTGGTGGAGTTCTATGTACACTATCATGTCATCTGCAAACAATTTCAGTTTTGTTTCCTTTTTCCAATTTGGATGCCTTTTA